AAGTTATCTTGAAGGCGGCGGGTGGGGGGGGAGATGTAGCTTTGTACTTTTCTTTCGGTGCTCTTAGATCAGAGTGGGAACTTAAAGTGACCCTGCCCTTTATGCTTTTGTCCTACACAGCCAAGAAGAGAAAATCAGACAAGGTGAGAGCCGGGGCAAGCATCAGGGAAATTTGGGCGAAGGACAGACACCCTCCCCTTTGGGCAGGGAGTCCTCAAGTATCTTGACTGAAGTCTGAGGTCATTGGGTGCCTCTGGGTTTTGGGGACGAGGGTGTCTGTGGTGGGCAGGAGGGCAGCAGAGGCCTGGGGAGGGGGGTGGGGGAGGTGGATGTGGGTAAAAAGAGGAGGAATTTGAGGATGTTTCTTTGTCAAATCTTTTTTCCTTCCCTGGGTTCTCGGCTCCCCCTTATCGTTACCCTTTCTCCAAAGCTATGGTATCTCCCATTCCAGAACCCCAATTCCCCTCGAAGATCCAAGTCTTTAAAACACAAAAATGGTAAGTGGGGCTGGAATAACGGGAGTGATTCTAGCTGTGTTTTCTGGGACTCGTTGCTGGGGGGAGGGGGGGAGGCTTGGGGGACAGGGGTATCGAGGGAGGGCCTGTGATCCTTCTGTCACCCCCACTTCCTCTCTGGTTATTTTCAGGGTTCTCTGTCTGTACCTCTGCATCAAACACCCTTCCCCTTCTTTTTTCTTCTTCAGGGGAACTTAGCAATTCGGATCCTTTTAAGGTGAGTGAGTAGGGGCTGCCCCTCTTAGGTCCCGCCTCATTTTCCTTGTGGTGGGTTGGGTGGGATTGAGAAGAGGGGGCGGGGGGTCAGAATACAGACAGCCAGAAGCACTCGATGGGGTGTTTAGGTCTTGCATTGGAAAACTGCTGAGAAGTTTTTGGGTTTTTTGTTTTTGTTTTTGTTTTTTAAGATTTTATTTATTTTTAGAGAGAAGGGGAGGGAGGGAGAAAGAGTGAGAAAAACATCGATGTGTGAAAGAAACATCAATCTGTTGCCTCTCGCACACCCCCAAGTGGGACCCAGCCCACAACCCAGACATGGGCCCTGACTGGGAATCGAACCAGCCCCCTTTTGGTTCACAGGCTGGCGCCCAATCCACTGACCCACACCTGCTAGGGTCTGCTGGGACGTCTTAAGGCATCCTCACTTACTGGACTGAGAGGGACTGGTTCTCCATCCCGTCCCTACCCTCCTTCCTTTGGCTGGGGCTGCTCTAACCTCTCCCTCTGGTTCTCCCCCAGTATAACAACTCGACTGGGATCAGCTATGAGACCCTGGGACCTGAGGAGCTTCGTAGCCTGCTCACCACGGTGAGGGACCAGGGAAAGGGAGGCCTCTGGGGGTGGGGTGGAGCCACCGGCAGTGGGCAAGGCTCTGAAAGAGAGGAGGCTGGTGCTGTAGCAGTCAGGGCCGTGTAGTTCTCTCTCTGGAACGAGGGTTCCTGGCCAGGGGTGGTCTGGGACTTTCTGCTCTGGACACGTTGGAACCCTTTGTGCTTGTGCAATCTCGAATTCTACAGAAGGAAACATTTAGTGTCTAGAGTAGGTTCCCTTCCATCCCCCCTTTCAGCTTATATTCCTCTTCCAGCAATGTGGGGTGATTTCTGAACACACCAAGAAGATGTGCACAAGGTGAGTTCAGAATCTAGAAAGGGGGCGAGGGGGCCGTCCTGCACACTCGCCCTGGGCGTGGGTCAGGAGTACCCCAGACTTGAGCAGTGGGACTCCCCTTTAATCTAGGGACTCTCCGTTCATCCCTTCCCTCTTGTCTATCCCTTCCATCTCTGCCGAGGGGAGGGGCTTCACTTGAGTTCCTCAGACCCTTCTGCCTTGTCAGGGTCCGATCGTTCTCTCCCCTCCAGGTCCCTGCGCTGCCCCCAGCACACAGATGAGCAGCGGCGAGCCGTGCGGATTTACTTCCTGGGACCCTCAGCGTAAGGGACCTGCAAGGAGGGTGGTGGGTTGTGAAAGGTTGGGAGGATGATCGGCGTCGGTAAAGCCCTTCTCTGGCCCCTCCCCTTCCCAGCGTCCTTCCAGAGGTGGAGAGTTCCCTGGATAACGACAGCTTCGACATGACTGACAGCCAGGCCCTGATCAGCCGGCTGCAGTGGGACGGCTCCTCTGATCTCTCGCCCTCCGATTCAGGCTCCTCCAAGACGAGCGAGAATCAGGGATGGGGTCTAGGTAGGTGACCCCGCGGGGCCCGAAGCGAAGGAGCGGGGGGCGCCTTGCGTTCTCCGGCCACCGCCTTGCCCTCACCCCTTGCGCGTCTTTCTCTCCAGGTACCAACAGCTCTGAGTCACGGAAAACGAAGAAAAAGAAATCCCATCTGAGCCTGGTAGGGACTGCCTCCGGCCTAGGCTCCAACAAGAAGAAAAAGCCAAAGCCACCGGCACCCCCGACGCCCAGCATCTACGATGACATCAACTGACTCGGGTGCAAGGGAAAGCCTTTGGCTGAGCAGAGCCCTCTCTCCCGACCCCCACCCAGGTGGCATAACCTGGCACATGGACGGCTGCTGGGGGTCTGGGCTTGAGAAGCTTGGTGGGCCAGGCAGGCAGAGGATCCAATTACGCGCCCCTGGGGGGTGTCAGGGTCCTCTGCGACGGAGTACGACCCCTCGGCATGCAGGACTCAGACCTGGACATACTATGCCTTGGACATAAGTTTGGTGGGGAGGCGGTTTTCATATTTATTCTGAGTTACTGGATGTCCAGCTAGGCCAGGGGCCTGACCTGGGCACTCTGCCAGGGCACTGCCTGCCCCCCGCCCCAGGAACTGGACTAAGCCCTGCCGAGGAGCATTATGGCTACCCGGGAGGCTGTGGGTTAGAAGCTGAGCCTGGAGGGGGCCTCCCCCAGCCGCCCTCAGCAATGTGAATGGGTCAGGTGCTTGGAGCTGAGGGGCAGGGCTGGGCGTGTCCTGTCTGTGTGCAGAATCCTATCGAACGCCCCAAGTCCCAGGGGCAGGCAGGCACCGCGAGCTGTCTGCTGAGGTAGGCATCCAGAACTGCCGCCGCCTTCCCTGCCCCTCACAGGGGCAGCCCTTTCCCCTCAGTCCCCATGGGCCTCGTCGGCAGCAGGAGCTGTCCTTTTGTTGGGTGCCAGGAAAGGGCCTCCGGCCTCTACAGCTTCAAGAACGGGTTAGGGGAGGGTAGGAAGAGGGAGCTGTGTATCAAATAATGACTCCCCCTACCTTTTCTCCCTGACCCAGGGCTGGCGAGGAGTGGGGCCCCAAGGTGAGAGGGAACGGTGCTGCTTTATTTGAAATGTTTTCTTACCTCATTCCCTGCCCCAGGAAGGGGCTCAGCCTCACCCTCCTGGGGTGGCCCCATGTTCCTCCTGCCTACCCTGCCCCCCTGCCCTTCCAGGGCGGCCCATGTTCCCAACTGCTGCTTGCCACCCCCCTCTTTCACCTTGACCAGCTTCAGTTCCTCTCTCGATGCTCCTGCCTCCGAAGCCTGCCCTGTTTCCCCTTCCTTAGCCGCTTTTAAGTTATTTATTCTGTACTTGTGGTTTGGGGCTCAGAGGAAAATCCTGATCTTTTACCTCTTCCCCTTTGCTAGGAGTAGGGTGGGAAGAGAGGGCGCTCTCCGTGCTCTGGGTCACCGGTGGAGGGGAAGGGGTGGCGTGTCTAGGCGTCGCCCCTCTGGACTGTCATGCCAGTGCGCCCACCTGCCTGGTCTACATCCCGAAGAGATGTACCGTCCCACCTCCACGTGGGCACCATCACTCCCAGGAGCCGAGCTGGAGGAATGCAGTCGGGGCTGGGAGCAGAGCTGACTGTCATGGGTGGAGCTGACCCTAAGCCAAGTTCTCTGGCGTTTGCTGGATGTGTCCCCTGCCCTCCTCTCAGGAGGAGTTACCCCACATTGGGTAGCGAGTACCCAGGACTGGTTGGACCGATTTGGGTTAGGGGTCCTAGAGGGTTAAGGGAACAACGGGGATGGGGTTGTAGCGCCCTGTCTGGAACCCCGGCCTCCCCCTGGGGTGGTTCTGCTTGTGGCTGAAGTCTGGTTGCAAATTGGTTTTTAACCCAAGAATTGTGATTATTTTTTAAAAAGCCAAACAGATTTTGGCAGGAGTTAGAATAAATCCTGGGGCCTGGGCTCCTCTGTTCTTGAACCTCCATAGTCTTCTCCCTCTGAGGGGAAGCCAGAGGGAGAGGAGGATCTCAGCCCGTCTCCAGCCTGCTTCCAGAAGACCTCTTGGAAGTAGGTTGAAGGTGAAGGGAGGAAGGCCAGGGGCCATTCTTCCTTCTGAGAGGCAGCTGCAGTTCAGGCCCTAATACACCCTTTCCCTTCTGGCCTCTCCCTTTCCCCCTTCTGGTTGGAGGAGGGAGAAGTGGGAAGTAGTTTGGGAACTGGTTTGTCCACATCCACTTCCCCATTGTTCCTCGGCCCGCCCTCAGGGCAGAGCCCCCTGCCCAGGCTGGGTAAGAGGTGGGCTTGGTCCAGCAGGGACCCTGAGGGAACAAATCCCTTTCCTTCCTGGGAGAGTATGCCCCCCTACCATGTAGTTTAACAGGGGCTAGGAGCTCCCCCACTCCCCTCCCTCTAACAGCAGGCTGTGTGGGTTTCAATTCCCATCCTTCCCAACCTGGCTAGGTGTCGTCCACCCTGTATCCTATCATGTGTCTGAGTGTGTGTGGGGGGGGTTCTGTACTAATTTCCATGGCCGGTGGCTTTTCCTTCCATGCATCACTCCCCCCCGCATGCCCAGGGGCCACCCGCCTGGCATTACCGCATGCTGGGGTCATTGGGGGAGGGGGGGTGGGGCTCACGCTGTCCTGTGGTCTTGAGATTTTTATTTTTGCATATGTAATCCATCTTGTACAGGTAGCTAACTTTGTAAACGCTGTGTATTTTCCCTGCCCCCATGGCTGCTGGTGTAAATAAATTGCATCTCCCATTGGTAGCGGGGCCTACCCACCCTCATTACCATGTTGCTGGGGGTAAAGCCACTCTCTTAATATCACAGGAGGCTCCACAGCCACAAAATGGAACTTTATTCAGTCATAGGCACTGCCCCACCCCCCACCCAAGACCCCCCAGAGGCAAGGGCCAGGGGCACAGCGCTCTGTACTCCACACTTCTCGGAGCTCGGCCACTGGCCAAGAGCCAGAGCCATTTCTTGCATACAGCCTTAGGCCTAGGGTAGCAGCAGCTGTGGCCTGGCTTCTCCCAATGCTGGGGGCTTGGCTTTGTGCCTCAATCCCCTTCCTGACGGCGCGCTCTAAAGGACTATTAAGGGGGAAAAAAAGTGCTTTGAAAAAAGGGGGAACACTGGAAACGGTCCAGAACATGGACACCCTATTCCTGCTAAAGGGGTAGAGGGAGAGGCAGCGAGGTGCCACACAGAGCAAGCTGGCACCACCTTCGTTCCTGTCCGTGCAATTTTAGTCTCAAAAGATGGATATTCCACTAAGGAATTGAGAGATACTCCGCATTCCCTGCAGAAATACGCGGGGGCCATACTGAGCTGCCCTGGCAGGCAGGTGGCCCTGGGCGCCCAGGAGCAGACATGCAGGACAATGGGAAGAGCTAGGGTCACAGGCAGGAGAGAACCCTCAGAGCCCAGGCTCCCCACCCCACTGAGCTTGGCCACTGGCGTGGCTCTGAACTTCAGGACCCTAAATGTGAAGAAAGATGACATCCTCGTTTCTACCTGAGTTGTGCTTACGCAGGAGAGATGTCTGTACCCTTGCGGACGTGAAGGGGCTGAAGAGGACCCACCGTATCCTTTCCACCCTTCCCTCCCAGGCCCTTGGGCCCTGGTCTGACCAGGAAACGGGAGGCCATAAAGGAGGAAGACCAGGCCTTTCATTTTCTCCCTATGTCCTTATCGTCCATACATCCCAAATACTAGGAAGCTGAAGAAGACGGTGACCCCCACCAGGGAGACAGTGGCAGGTGCTGTGAAGAACTGGCGGTAATTGATACGAAAGTACCAGACCACACCCAACAGCACCACAAACACAGGCACCATGAGGCTGCCCACACTGACACCAAGGCTGGGGGACTCAGTGGCTGACGAGGGGGCCAGGGAGGCCGAGGGGCCTGGAACAGCTGACCCCGGGGGTGAGCGGTGGCAGTGAATCACACAGTTGTCGGTAATGTTCAGGGAACGCAGCGTTCGGGCTGGGTCCTGCAGCAGGCGGCCCTGGTAGATCAGTTTCATCTGGCTCTCTTGTCCAGGGAAGTATTTGCTGTAAGGATGAAAGAGAAGGGAAAACAGGCCTGAACCAACAAAGCAAGGCAATGGGGCAAAAAAATTGGTGGTTTTAAGGAAACCTCACCCATTCCAGATAGGATGGGGACCTGACAGTTCCGAGTTGCCCCCCTGTCTATGCCAGCCTCCTCTGAGGCAACCAAAAGCCAGGGACATGCAGTATGAGCAGCCTCCCCGCTTCCAGCTCACTCACCTCTTTAGGGTACCCACAGTATCTTCTGGCCTGGCCACAGCCAGCTCCTCGGTGTCATTGAGGAATTTGAGCCGTACATTGATGAGGCCGGGGCTGGGAGGCAGGGAGGCGCTATCCTCAGATCTCAGCGGAGCTTGTGGACCGCTGCTCTCTGGGCCCACGTGTCTCTTGGGCAGGCCTTGGATGTCAAGCAGATGCTCAAGGCTGGGCTCAACGCCACCCCTAGCTCCCGGCTCCGCTGTGGGGTCTCCACCTTCTCCAGCCTCTTCAGCCTTCTCATCATTACCCTCTGATGGATGTGGGAGTTCAGTTGGCTCTGGGGTGCCTTGGCCCGCCACCAGATGGTCCACATGCCCCAGGTGGAGGACGGATGTGTCGCCAGCTGACACAATAGCGCCCAGGAGCTGGTTGCTACTGCTGTCTGCTACATAGGTGGAGAGCCAAGCTAGGACCAAGGCTAGAATCAGCACCACCACACCTGCCACCACAGTCACCTCATTACCCACACCCTCAATAAGGGTGACATCAGAGAGTTCCATGGCCTGGCTGTTGACCGGGTCCACACTGCAGGAACAAAGGGGGATAACATCAATAGGGCCTCTGGGGTTGCAACCTGATTTCAAGTTTGTTTAGGCTCTAACTGACCCAGCCCTGAAAGAAAACGGAGTCCACTGTCCTGCAGAAGGGGAAACAGACCTTTCTAACCCCGAACCCCAAACCTAAAGCTGATGACTTGCCCTCTACCTCTATGGTAAAACTCTTCCAGGCTCCACACCCTTGCCCTCTCACATTCCTGCCCCGCAGTGAGCATGGGCTATTAGGAAAACCTTACAGTTGTGTTGCTGGTGCAACTGTTTGTTGCTTTTTCAGTAGGTGGGGAAAAACATCTGCTCCTTTGAGCCCTGAGTTTCGCCTGGACTTCTATCACTTGGTGAAGCAGCTACACCCCTTTCAGGAGCCCCCAAGGTGGCCTCAGAGAGATCAAAAAGCCCATAGTAGTTTATTCTGGGGCACTTTCGGAGGTAGAGTGCAAGCACTCTTGCCAGACCGTCTCATTGAAAACTGTCTCATTCATGGTCACATATCTAGATCCAGATGTCAAGAGCCAAAGAAAATTAATTTATCATCCAAAGCAGAGTCAGATCTCCCCAAAGGGACAAGAGTCCGAACACCCCAGAGGCCCGGTAGAGGTCAGCAGCAGACACTGTGTCTGCCTCCTCTCAAGCCCTCCTGGCAAGCTCTGGGGAGCAAAGTAGGCCAGGCACCAGGCACGCTGCCCTCCTGGGTCAGTATAGGTTCCCAACTAAAAAACCACCACCTGAGTGGAACGCGTTTGGAAGGCTCCCAAAATAGCTGTCACAGTGCATAGCTCCGTCTCTCCTTTTGTACTGTGCAGGTTCTCCCGCAGCAGTTTCTTAGAAAGGCAAGGATCCCAGCTTGCTCCTTGGAGTGCCTACCCTGTCCCTTGGAGAATTTGCTGCTTTCACTGCTGTCCCTGGGCAAATCCAGTCTAATGATTATCATTACCAGACTATTCTCACAGCAACTATAAAACTTCATTATATTCATCTACCTGTCCTTCTCCCTCTCCTCGACTCCTGTGAGACAAGGATCACGTGTATTTCTCTATGTACTGTAGTGCCCAGCATGATGCTGGAGTTAGCTGTTCAGAGAATGTTTGTGGAACCTATCAAAATCTGCCTAGTTTCCACATCCTTATGTAGTACATGGGTCCTGGAGTCAGGAAAAAAAAAAAAAACCCTTGTAATCCTCGTCTTGCCTCTTTCTAGCTCTGTAACCTCGGACAGCTTTGCCTCGGAGCCTCAGCTTTCTCATCAATAAAATGGGGAGAAAAATGGTACCTACCTCATAAGGTTGTTTTGAAGATGCCGGGAAATCATCGAAGCGAAATACTTAGCAGAGTGCCTGGCACATTGCAATTGCTCGATAAATAAGTGGTAGCAATTACTTACCACTCCCACAACTAACCCCGGATGGTAAGGAGGTTAATGTCATTAACCCCGATTTACAGAAAAGGAAACTGCGGCGAGCAGAAGAGAAATGCAGAGACACAGACACAGGGAACTTTCGTGGGCCGGGGGCCGGGCCGGACCTCAGGGCTCCCGCCTCAGAGGCCTTCGCTCTCCCCTCGGCCTCTGAGCGACCCAGACCGCGCGGTGAGGTGGTGTCCCCTGCCTTTTCTGAGACGAAGGCTCCGCTTTGGGGCGGTCCTATTCTCGCGGCTCTGCAGAAGGGGGTCCGTGGGCCCACCCGAGCCGAAACGTTGCCCGGTGCCAGCCGCCGTGCACAAGCCCACTTCCCCCAGTCGTGGAGGGGTAGGATCGGGTGAGGGGGGTCACAAACCATCCACACCCCTCAAACTTCGGGGCGGGGCCAGGAGCCTGTGGGCGGTGCTTGAGTACGCGGGGAGTCATGGGAAATTAAGAGGGGCTTGACCGGTACTACGTCTCAATAGGGAAAGAGGTCCTCACCTGAAACGGCCAGACTAAGTGTTTTGACTTCGCCAGGACGGCCCATGGACTCACCTTTCCGTAGGGGCCGAAGAAGGGGCTGGCTACCCCCGATTCTGCCCAGGGTCCAATCTCTTCCGGCTTCTCCAGGAAGCTGTTAGAGCCAGAGACAGGAAGTCCCGCCTCCGCGCCTTGCACTGATGATGCAAAGCTACGTAAGGCGGGCTGACGTAAACGTATTCTTTAAAAGGGACAGGTTTGTCAGCGGAAGGAGGGGCGGAGTCGCTGTTGGCGGGATCCTGCGTCTCCCGGGGAGGGCCACGCCTAGTAGGCGGGGTCCGAGGAGCTCAGGGTTGAGGGGCAGGGCCAGAAGGGAGTTGGGGGAGGTGCTTTAAAGGGGGCGTGGCATCGGGTCTAGAAGATCGAACGGCTGAGTACAGTTGGGCAGAACTCCAGCAGCACTTCCATCTTTCCAGCCTTGTGCTTCCGGCCTCGCTGCAACCGCCTGGTGTGATAGGATTATTACTGCTCCAGGTTAGTTGGGTCAGTAAGGACTGGTCTCTCTGACTTCCAAGAATTCAAGGATAGTAGGGAGACAAACAGGGAGACAATTTAGTCACTATGCGGTGCTCCGGGAATGCGGCCCCAGGTGGTGTGGTACTGGGGTAAATTATGCAAGAAAGCATTTCAAAGAAGGTACAGATTCAGCGCAGGTTTAGAGCACGAGAAAAGCAGGAGCTTCCCCCAGAAGGCTCAGCTTCTGAGAACTTATCCACATTTTTGCATTCAATTCTTTTCTAGAGATGTGCTGGGGTTTTATTGTTTTCTGGTGAACTGTTGATTGAAGTAGGAATGATGCAGACGGGCAAACTCGTAAGCGAAGAGCTCGGTGGTTTTCGCCAAAGGAACACACCGGTAGAACCAGCAGTCGAATCAAGCAATAGTAAATGACCCATAACTACTCCTCTTCTTGTCCTCTTTCAGTCACTAATTTACAGAATGGTCATTATTTAAAAAAATTTTTTTTTACTGATTTGAGAGAGAGAAACATTGATTTGTTGTTCTACTTATTTATGCATTCATTGGTTGATTGTTGCATATGCCGATGGGGCATCAAACCCACAGCCTTGGCCTATCTGGACGATGCCCTAGCCAACTGAGCTACCCGACCAAAGCTGGTATTCACTATTCTGACGTCTGTCACCATATATTAGAAATCTCTGTTGCTGTACTTTGTATAAATGGAATCAAAAAGTATGTACTCTTTGGTGTCTAGCTTTTTTCTTTTTAAGTCGTTTTATTATGGTAAAATATGCATAAGTCCTTGAACCATCTTAAGTGGCTAATTCAGTAGCATGAGGTACATTCGCAACGTTGTGCACCCAGCACACTGTCCATTTCCTATACCCAATCCTCCTCCCACCTCTGTTCTAGGTTCTCATGTAAGTGGAATCACACGATGTTTGTCTTTTTGTGTCTGGCTCCTTTCACTGAGCGTATATTTCCAAGGGTCATTCATGTCGTAGCCCATATCCAACTTTATTCCTTTTTAAGGCTGACTAGTATTCCATTACATGTATATACCACATTTTCTTTCTCCATTCACCTGTTAATAGACATTTGTGTTCTTTCCACCTTTGGGTTATTGTGAGTAAGTGGCTATGAACACTGATGTACAAGTATCTGTTTGAGTTGCTCTTTTCAATTTTTTTGTGTGGTTTCTTTTGATCAACAATATGTTTTTGAGATTGAAGGTATTGTTTTAATTTCTGCATATATGTACTTTGGGGGTTTAAAGCTTAGTGTTTTTATTTAGAATGACATAAGTGGGGCACATCATAGCACAGTAAACAGGATTTTGAAGAATGAGTAGGGATTTACCAAGCAGGGTTCCACACGGAGAGAGAATAGTAGGTTCAAGGCCTCTCAAATATTTGAGGAAATGAATAAATCAATAAGTTGAACCACTTAATCCTTTTGAGTTTATTATATGCTAGAAAATGTTCTATATATTTATATGACATTTTTTACGATTTTATTCTTTTTAGAGAGGGGAAGGGAAGGAAAAAGAGGAAAACATCAATGTGTGGTTGCTTCTCGCGTGCCCCCTACTGGGGACCTGGCCCGCTACCCAGGCTTGTGCCCTGCCTGGGAATCAAACAGGTGACCCTTTGGTTCACAGGCCCATGCTCACTCCACTGAGCTACTACCCCAGCCAGAGCCGGAAGTCTCTTTTTTTCTTGTTTTTTCTTTTATTATTCCAATATTCCCCAAATGTATTCCAGTGCCTGCATGCATCAGGTACTTGTTAAAGATTTATTAAATGAATGATGGATGGATTCAGAGAAGTTGGGGGAATAGACTGGGAAGTTGAGAGAATTCCCTCACCTGCTACTCAGCTGTAGTCTTAAGAGGGAGGAAAATGGACGGAAGAAGGAAGGATTGGCTGGGGATGAGATAGTCTTGGAATGCTCAGCCGCTGGGATGAAGGGTTGGAAATAGTGGAAGTTGAGTCTGACAAGAGATATGCTTTTGTGAGTTTGTACAACAAAGGACAAGATGCAGTTAGTGGTATTTTGAAAGTGGGACTTTCAGGCTTCGGTTTGAGGTTGGGTGTTTTTCTCAAGAGGAAATAATTTTACAGCTGGGACTATATTACTGCCCCAAACTGGTTCTTCTACTTTTTTTTTTTTAACTTAAAAAAAAAAACCGATTTTATTTATTTATTTTTAGAGAGAGGGGAAGGTGAGACAAAGAGAGGGAGAGAAACATCAGTGTGTGGTTGCCTTTCACACGCCCCCTACTGGGGACCTTGGTTGCAACCCAGGCATGTGCCCTGACTGGGAACCCAACCAGCCTCGACCCTTTGGTTCTCAGGCCGGCAGTCAATCCACTGAGTCACACCAGCCAGGGCAAAACTGGTTCTTTTAAATATAATAATAATTACCCGAGTATTTTCATGGATCTTAACTCCATAGGACATTATTCATAATGTAGCTTATGAGATTATTTTTCTTAAACTGCTGAACTTAGGTGTTTTTACACCTTTGTGTGCAGTCAAGACGGCTATAGAATAGAATGTACTTAGAAATTCTGGGATGCTGCCTTCACTAAATATGTCCACAGTAAATCTGTTTTCTTAGAAAACGAAAAGTGCTTGAGGGGGTGGTGTTTAGGGTACAAACTTGTAATGTGTAATGAAGAAGCTACTCTATGCACAGTGTAATGAATATAGTTTATACTATTGTACTACAATGATGCAATATGATAAATATTCCTTCAGTGGCAATCACGTTACTATATATAAATGCATCAAAGTAACACACTGCACATCTCAGATTTACAAATTGTGATATGTCAAATTTGTCAAATGTAAAAATTTGAAGCCTGGCTGGTGTGGCTCAGTGGACTGAGCACCAGACTGTGAATCAAAGGGTCACTGGTTCGATTCCTAGTCAGGGCACATGCCTGGGTTGCAGTCCAGGTCCCAGTAGGGGGCACGCAAGAGGCAACCACACATCGATGTTTCTCTCCCTCCCTTCCCCTCTCTCTAAAAATAAATTAAAAATCTTTAAAGAAAATTTAAGACACAAAAAGTGCTCCTTTCCTAACCACTACTTGTTGTTTCATGTTTGCCGAATCGACAGGCCAGAGATTTTCAACCCACGTGCTGCAAGAATTTATAAAACGTGCAGCACCTGACTGTGTAGTCAGGGACACTGTCCCCTTTTCCCTTAGACTGTCAAATAAAAAAACGACAGCAGCCAACACAACAATAGCCATCTGGTGTGAATGAATCAAATATATACCTATATTTTTTGTCAGATTGGCAAAAAATATATTTTCTGGCGTGCTGCAGAATTTTAGTAATTAGTTTATCTGTGCCAGGAGATGAAAAAGGTTGGAAATTGTTGCAATAGGCAACAAGTGTTTGCTCCTTTAATTTGCATTAATTGGACTACCAGTGAGTTTGAACATTTTTCATATTTCATATTTTTATTTCATAAAAGAGCTAATTTGTAAATTAACTCTTTCGGCCTTTTGCCTTTTCTTCCCTTATTTATTTATTTTTTTATTTCACAGGAATCCATGGGTACCCTTCAGTAAAAAATTCAAATACAGACCGTTACAAGCCCCACTGGCACAGTCCCCGCCCCCTGCCCAGAGGGAGAACTTTTGGGTGCGCACCCGCCTTCCTGGTCGTTTCCTGTTCCTCGACAATGATGGGGTTTGTTGTGTCATGTTTTCTTTTGTTGTTGCTGTACGTATTGGATTCCGGCCTGGTTTTTTCCTCCTTAGCAATAGTCTTGAAAATTTTTCCAAAGCAATAGGCATGCGATTCCCTTGGAATCCCTCCCCAGTTCTTTCCTGCTGAGGGCACTACCCTGTGCAAGGGCTGAATAGTGTTTCATAGCATGGACTTGTGTACCCCCTCCCACTCACCGAGTGGTTGCAAGGAATGCTGGGATGAGATTCCCATATGCACCAGCCTTTTGTGTAAGTGGGAGCAGTGCTTAAGGGTGCTGTTAAATTGCCCACTAAAGAAGCCGCTTCCTTTCCCACCGATAGGATGTGCAAGAACATATTTCTCCATATCCTCACAGGCCTTGCATATTATCAATCTTTAAAATTTCCTTTAATCTAGTGGAATATCATGTTGCTGTTTTCATATGTACTTCCCCGATGTACTTCAATGCCGGTGGCATTGACCAGCATTCACTTAGATATTGGAGTGTCTGTTCTCTGCCAGTCACCGCTGTAGAGGCACCAAGTCAACAATGGCGATGAAACAGAGGCTATTCCTGCCCTGGCCTGGTGGCTCAGTTGGTTGGAGCGTTGTCCTGTGCATCAAAAGTCTGCGGGTTCGATCCTAGCTAAGGCACGCACCTGGTTTACAAGTTCAGTCGCCGGTCTGGGCGTGTATGGGAGGCAGCCGATCCCTGATCCTCTGTCCCCCCACTTCCTCTCTCTCTAAAATCAATAAAAACGTCCTCAGGGGAGGATTCCAATAAACAAGCAGATACCATTCCTGCCTTCACAGATCAAGGGAATAACATCTTTTAGCTGTACCACATTTTTCAGTATTTTTTGCCTTGTACATGTGTTAATGATTCGGTGTTTCTATAACACCAAATCTAAACTTCTTCTGTTTCCAGATCTAATCTTTTCTTTTATGCTCTTCCACTGGAAAATCTTCTCCTAGCGCCCAATAATGTACATAATCACGTGTGTCTTTTGTATTCTCTAAACGGGTATCTTGTTGTGGTTGTAAATATGGCAGAAAAGGCCGAGCTCGCGGGGGTGAGCCTGCAGAGAGGGGGCAGACCACTCAGCGCCCTCCCTGGGAGGGAGGCCCCCAGTTTGGTTGGGCCCAGGACTGGGGAGGCTTTCCCGCTCTCCTCTCGGGCCTCTGGCTCTGTGAAACTGAAGTGACAACGTCCCGAAAGGAGAGGTTGCTGCTCTGCCTAGGGAGGTATAAGCCTGTCTCCGTGTTGGTCAAAGCGCATCTCTGCAGATGCAGCTCCACGGGGTGGGGGAGGGGCAGCCGGCCACAGCGGCAGGAGGCCACCCCAGGGCTCCACGTGGTCATGGCACGGGGGTCCCAGGGTCCCTCAGCGAAAGGACACGAGTGCAGGCTGTTGGGAGCCCCTCCTCACTTCCCTCCTGAGGTGGGCACTACAGGTTCAGGGGCTGGGAGGGGCCTCGTGTTGCTCTTACACCCGTTCCGCTCTCACAAGAGTAACAGTTGCTCCATGCAGAAGACAACTTGGGGACTGTAGAAGAGGACAACGTGGGGGGAATAAACAAGGAGTGATAGGCATCTCAGTCACGTGTCAGCCCAACAATATCCACACATCGGTACTGTGCATCGATCATTTATTTGCGATCATAAAAACTAGCTTGGCTTGAAAAGCTTCCTCTTAAAGATGAATGGTGACCCTGGCTGGTGTGGCTCAGTGGATTGAGCATTGGCCTGCGAACTGAAAGGTTGCTGGTTCAGTTCCCAGTCAGGGCACATGCCTGGATTGCAGGCCAGGTGCCCATTAGGGGGCGTGTGAGAGGCGATGGATTGACGTATCTCTCATACATCGATGGTTCTCTCCCTCTCTTTTCCTCTCTCTCTAAAAATAAATAAATAAAATCTTAAAAAAAAAAAGATGAATGGTGGTGCATTTGACTCTGAAACCCAGAGGAGGAAGCGAGAGAGAAAGAGGGGACAGCTGGTGGCTGGTCCTCCTGTCACAGGCCCTCAGAGCTCACACGTGCGGTGACCACTGTTTAAGACACCACACGTTGGGGTAGGGGAGGGGCAGCACAGCCGGAAACGGGTCCGGGCGTCCTGCATTTATTCCTCCCTCCACCGCCATTGACTGAAATGCCCGTGCAAGGAATGCGGTGCCAGGCTCAGCCTACTTGAGGCAGACACAGGCTCTTAATTAGGTCTGACACCAGGGAAGGTTGCCTGCTAGGTTGGGCAGATCGTGCTAGTGAGCTGTCTTAGGGATAATATCAGCTCCAGCCAGGATTAGAAAAAAAAAAATGAAGGGTATACCAAGGAGGGGGATTGCCTGGAAACAGAGGGTTTTAAGAGCATGGGTTTCACGCTGGTGTGGCCCAGAGGACTGAGTGCCAGCCTACGGACCGGAAGGTCACCAGTTCAACTGCCAGTTAGGGCACATTCCTGAGTTGTGGGCCAGGCCCCTGGTTTGACCAACCGATTGATGTTTCTCTCCCTCTCTTTCTCCCTTTTCCTCTCTCTAAAAAAATAAATAAATAAATAAAATCTTGGGGGGGGGGGAAGAGAGCATGGGTTTCAAGATCAGTCCATAAGGTCCTCCCTTCAAATGACAATGGCAATGCAATGGCAACAGCAGTTCAGCTAGAGGCAGAGTCTGTCACCCTTCAGGAACCTGAGCAGATATACAGGTGGCAGAGGATGGGGGTGCAACACGGATCACCACCCCCTGGCCTGGGGCCCGGGTGGCTGGAGGGGCCATCACCCACTTAGGCAAAGAAGAGGTGGGTGAAGGCTGAGTCTGCAGACCTTCCCGTCGGAGTGGAGCCGAAGCTTAGGTCAGGCTAGAGGTCAGCAGTTGGCTCAGGCAGCCAGCGGAGGGAGGAGCTGGCCCGGGAGGGAATGCAGAGGGCCAGCGACCTGTTCTCTAGGGTTGAGGGATGCGGCGGATGAAGACAGCGGGATGAGCTGTGGGAGCAGCCTGGCGTGGCGCTCACTGGATGTGCCCCTCCACACGAAGCAGCAGGTAGTCCCTGAGGAGCTGCGGCAGGGGGAGGCAGGCGGCAGCCTGGCGGCAGCGGTTCCCCAGCTGAGCGCGCACAGCCAGCCGGGCCAGGTGCTGCAGGCGCCTTGGCTGGTTCGCCATGCTCAGAGCCGAGCTGTAGAAGGCTTCGTGCTCCTAGGCAGGAGTGGAACAGGGTCAGATGGCCCAATACCCTTGAGTCTGCCCTTCCAACTGGGGGCCACCTAGTGGTAGGGCCCTAGGGTTTTGCAACATGTAAAATTTGGACTCAAGACTCCGAGCCAGACAGCTGGGACCACACTGCGAAGCCCCGTCTCCGCCATGTCCGCACCCACCCCACTCCAAAGAGTCCAAGTGCCCGCCGAGTCGGAGGTGCCCGAGAAATGTGCTGATGCAGGCCAGAGAGGTGTGTGGGACGGGAGGTGGTTCTGAGCTGCTAGGGGATGAGGGGAGCCTAGGACCCAGGGGTTTCGCTCTGCTGTCCTCCTCCCGCCCAGGGGCCCTCCTGCTGCGCCCTCCAGGGAGCCCATCCCGGAGGGATAGGCCCAGGCCCGGTCTTCCTTTCCATCTCCCCCAGTGCCTGGCACAGGTCTGTGCCCCTGGGGCGGACATACCTGCCACAGCTCTGGGAGCACGGCCTCCACCCACGTGTCACCGGACGGCACACAAGGGTAGGCATTAAGCAGGACTTCCAGGGCCCGAGGAAAGTTGGCACAGTGTTTCAGCATCTGGGAACCAGAAGAGGGACTCACAGCATCATGCCTCTCCCAGCTGGGGGCATGAGTCTCTCCTATTTTCCATCCCTCGGTTTGCCCCATCTCCCAGGGTGCTCCACAACCTCCTGGTCCCGGCTAGTTTCCTTGGGACCTCTTTTTGCCCTTCGATGCCTTCACCCATAGCTGTCACTGGCCCTTCCCAAGATGGGGCCAGACTTCTGGCCATATAGGGTGCGCCCTGAGACTCTTGACCCCTCCCCCTTCACCCGGCGGTCGGCCAATTCCATAGGCAGGCTCCCCCTACCCATCTGGGGCCTCCATTTACAGGCTCTCCCTACGCACCTCATGGTGCGCTGGCTGGGCCCCGTAGTCCAGAAGTGCCGAGAAGAGGACCTCGGGCTCCCAATTAGGAACGTCCTGGACAGCCTGCAGCGCGCAGTCCATGGGCGTGTGGCCTGCCGCATTGGGCACTTCCGCGCAGGCCCCGTGGCGCAGCAGCAGCTCGGCCAAGGCCCCGCAGCCGTTGGCACAGGCGTTGTGCAGCGGTGTGTGGCGCTTGTGCCCGGCCACCCGGGCATCAGCCCCGGCCTCCAGGAGCCGGCGCACTGCAGCCTGGTACTTCCGGCCAGTGCCCGGGCCCTCGGCCGCAGCACACGCCGCGTTCAGAGCCGTCTCACCCTGGCTGGTGCGCAGGCCCACGTCGGCCCCGTGCTCCAAGTAGAGAGCCACGTGCTCCTCCAGGCCCCGTGCGGCCACCACGTGCAGGGGTGTCACCTCGCTGTCCCTCGCTGCGGCATTCACGGTAGCTCCCGCCTCCAACAGCAGCTTGGCACACCTGGGGGCAGGTCACAAGGGGCCGTGCCAAAGCCTGAGAAACCAAAGCCTGGCCCGGGAGCCCCGCAGCCTGAAGCCATCCGTGACCCCCGTTCTGCCCCTCCCCTGCACCTGGAGGCGAGTCCGGTTGGCTGCCTCTGACTCACAGAAGCCCCGGGACAGGCAGAAGAGCTGAAAGGCCCCGTAAAAGTCACCAGCAGCATCTTCAGGTTTCACTTGAAAAACTTCCACCCAGAAAGGTCACAGTGCAGCCAGGGACACACAGCCAGTTAGTGGCTGCACCGGAATCAGTACTCACTGCCTCAGACAGTCCTTCCCAGAGTCTCACCTGACGCCCCAGTCCCACTGGGACCCCAGGGTCTGGTCCCGAATCATTTGTCTCAACATTTTTTAAAGGTTTTATGTATTTACTTATTTTTAGAGAGAGGGGAGGGAGGAAGAGGGTGAGGAACATGCATGCAAGAAACCTCAGTCAAGGGCAGCCTCTCCTAAATGCCCCGACTGAGACTGAACCCCCGACCCTGAGATGGGCTCTGACCAGGAATCGGACAGGCGACCTTTTGATTTGTGGGACGATACCCAGCCGGCTGAGCCACACCCGTCAGGGCTGTCTCCTAACATTTTGACAGCACACACACACACACACACACAACTGAAAACCCACTGGCGTGTACACTAGGAAACACAGAAAACTAAAAGAAGTCCTAATATCTTCTTCCTGCCTCTGCACTCGAAGACCACCTTTCAGACAAGCCACACCCACTCCAACAAAAGAAGTCACTTGGGGACCCCCCTACTCCACTCTCCGCTAAAGACAACAAACAAAACCAAGCGACAAAAAGGAGATTTTAGGAAGCACGTGTTTTTCACAGGCTTCAAGTTCCTGGAAAAGTTCTAGGCCAGAACACAGCAGAAGCAAGTATTCGTCCTTAACCACCGTGGGGGAGGCCGAACATAACCAACTGAATTAATGACGACACTGAACTAAGAGGAGTGGAGAGTTAAGAAGCCAGAAGGCCAGTCAGTCACTGGGACTCAGAAGCGGGCCCAGCAACCCCCGACGACCGCGTGTCCTGCCCCCGCGGGGCCGGATCTCTGCTGTCCTGCAGTGCACGCGCCCAGGAGGCACTTTGCCCAGGGACCAAGCCCTGAGCAGCGGCCAGGCCCCCATAGCCCCTGAATGCATTCCCTCGGTCAGTTCTCATCACGGGCTCATTTTTGTTTCCAAGGACTAAATTTAAATGATGCAGTTAGGATTTCAGTAAGTGCAACTAGTTTCATGTCACTTAAAAAGGTACATTCTTAAAAAAAAAAAAAAAAAGAAGGGGGTAAATTCTGCAAAGTGTACCACGTGGCCCTAAGGACTCAAGACAGGGCTGGGAGTGGTGGGGTGGGCGGAGAGAGAACAAAATAAAAAATAACAGAAGAAAGAAACAACAAGCAAAAAAGAAAGGGCCGAAAGAAAAACTTGGATGGCTTCGTTCCATCCCTGATCTAGATTAAAGCAGGGCGAGGCTCCCAGCATGGGGGCTCTGGGGGATCCCCCAGGAGTGAATGGATCCTTACCAGGGACAGCCCTGTCTGTGGGCCTGATTTACAAAAGCTCGAGGACCACCCCACAGGGGGCCTGAGGGAGCGCTGACCTTAAGAAGGTGGGAGGAGAGAGAGAAAAGGCTGGGAGTGAGAGTTGTGTGGGGCTTCACACTCAGTTCGGGAAACACCATGCTACATCTTGCTCTTTTTAGAAAATTTGTGCTCAGCAAGGATATTTGTCCGTAAGTAAGATTTTATTACTTTTTTTAGAAAGAAGGGAAGGGAGGGAGAAGGAGAGAGAAACGCTGATGTGTGAGAGAAACATTGATCAGTTGCCTCTCACAGGTCCCCAACGGGGGACCTGGCCCATGACCCAGGTGTGTGCCCTGACTGGGAATTGAACCCACGACCTTCCAGTTCGCAGGCCAGCGCTCAGTCCACTGAGCCATAACAACCAGGGCTAGATATTTCTTGATGCCTACCTCAAAACAGCTAGGAGTTTGCCTATGAAGCGCTCACAGGGGATAAGAGACTGTAGTTGGAACAGGGTTTTCCCAAAAAGCAACAGGGCTCCTGCCTTCTGGTCTTCGCTGATGTGACCTTGGATGAACCACTAAACCTTGCTGAGCCTCGGTTTTGTCTCCCAGGTTGTTGTGAGGACGTGAGAATGAGGGGTGCTTCTCCCTTCTCCTGGCCATGTGAGCTGCGGACACGCACACATACACACACACACACACAGCCTCTGTGCCCCGGGCACTTACTGCAAGGACCCGGGGGCTGTGCAGAGGTGCAAGGGAGTTGTGCCTTCCTCCGACAACACATTGGCCTTGGCGCCAAAGGTCAGCAGCAGCCGCACGCAGTCAGACTGGGCCTGGGCACACGCCTCGTGCAGGGCTGCCCGGCCCCCGACCCGGGCATCCAGCTCAGCTCCCTGCCGGATGAGGTGGCGGGCGCAGGCGGTGTAACCTCGGGCCGCAGCGATAGTGAGGGGCACGGTCTGCTTGGTCTTGGGGGTCAGCACCCAGAACCCTGCGGAGAGCAGACAGCGTGCGGGGGGCGGTGAGGCCCACGGGCAGGGCCGGCCGCAGGACCGGCTGATGCTGGCTTTCCCTCTGCACTCCTGGCTGAGCACAGACTCTGTGCCAGGCTGTGCCTGTGGAAGGGGCTCATCCAAACCCTGATTTGGGAGTGGGAATCGGAACAGACTTTTAGAACAGTTTGTCCATCTGGAACAAAACACACCATGTGAGTCACAGAAACAAAATGAGTTGCTCGTGAAAACTGTAAGGGCAACTGAGGAAGGGGAATCCCGTTCAGGAAACCTCCGGGTCTTTGAGCTGCTGATGGAGCTCTTGCCTCTTTCGGTTCCGTCAGGGATGGGGAGAGTTATGAACAGGGGGTCCTGGAGCTGAGCTCGGAAGCAGCCAGTGAGCGGAGATGACGGACGGTGCCTGAGTTTGGAGTTCTAGGACGCTGCTGGGGGGGGGGCGGCAGGGGGGGTGCTGGAAGGAGGGAGTGAGAGGTGGGGGAGGGGAAGGAAGAGTGGTGAGAGGGTACCACCCTGACGCTGGCCTTGAACCCAAATTGTGGTAACAGCAGAGGACCCTTTGAAAGGGCGTGGATGCCTAGTATCCAACTGTGCGTTGTTCACATCGTGGCCAAGTCCTGGGGTTCCTAATTCTTGGGTAGAGCACGTTTTATTTATTATTAGAATGGAAATAAGGCCAAGGGCCGCTTGAGAGATGATGGACGTGCCGCAGGACGAGACCAGGATGTCTCGGGCGGGCAGGGTCACACCTCTAGTAGTTGAAGACAAGCAGGAACTCGGAGCTTGTGGTGACAGTAAAAACATACGCTCTCCCAGGATTTCGAACCCCCAAGCCCAGGGGTGGGGTTGGAGGCAGTCTCTTGTCAACTAAATGGGGCAAGGCGAATTGAGGTCTTTGGTTTACATGGACAGATCCTCTGGTCAGAACAGATCCTAAGGAAATCAGCTGGCGAGTACTCAGAGACGTTCATCATATTGCAACTTAAAATAGTCTTTGAAAAAGGAGCCCCATCTAGGCCCCCAATCTACCTGGGGGCCTAGTTATATAAATCACGGCATACCCCACACAGCAGAATTTATGGCCCTTATATAAAATAGTATGCTTACTTATGGTTATTGACATATGTTACATGAAAGGAAAATCAGGTTATAAAATAGCATATTGATTATAGTATTTCTGTGGAAGAAAAAATATTCATGTGTGGATATATGTTCATAGAAAAGTTGCGTTAGAATATAACTGTGTTCCTATGTAGTTAATATAGCACGTTAATGTAGCTTTAATTCTCATGAAACGGACGAGCCGCTGCCCATGCGTCCTCTCCGTTCAGGAGGGAGGCGGCGTGGGCGGTGGGAAGAAACGGTGTGGTTCGTGTTCCGGAGGGAGAGGGGACGGGGCTGAGATGTTCCCCCTCTCCCCGCCCACCCTCGCCTCTGCCCTCTCCCTCCCCCTCCGCCCCCGCCTGCCGCTCCCTACCCTGTTCCGGCGACCAGGCCAGCTGGTCGCTCACAGTCTCCACAATCATGTTGGCGGCCTCTTCATCTTGGAACAAGGCTTGGACCTGTTGCAGGTCGCCAGAGAAAAGGGCGCTGTGGACCGCCGGGTCTCGGCAAGAGTGGCGGGGCCTAGTGAGCCGGGCCCTGGAACTCGGGGGACACCTCGGACCCCGGCACCACCGCTGGGCTGCTGCCCGGCGCCGCTCCTCCCACTCCCGCCACTCGCGCTGCAGGCGGAGAGAGCGCAGGGAGGAAGAGGTAGAGGGGAAGGGCTCTCTGGCCATGGGAAGGGGTGCAGGGACCCGGCCAGTGGCAGCTGGGCAGAGCCTGGTGACTACCACCCTTGTTCTGAGGAGCCACCCTGCCCCCTTGCCCGTGATCCAGGGAGAGCGGCAGCTGAGGCTATAAATAGGCTCCTCGCTCTCTGGTAAACACGTTTGCCCGCAGCCCTGGTCCTGGTGCAGAGAAGGTGTTGGGCCCACCCCGCACCCGCCCAGGGGTAGGGCCAGCCCCGGCCCCCGCTGATGCGGTCCAATTGGGCAGCAGGCCCTCAGATGAGGCCATCTCTGCACCGCAGGGTCCCTGTCCTCCCACTTCTCAGGAGTCAGCACCCTGGTTGGCAGGTCTGAGGTGAGTGAAGCTGTCAGTCAGGAAGATGGACAGGGCAGAGAGGAAGAGCCGGAGGAGTCCCCAGCCTCTCCGATGTTGGCTGGAGGGCGGAGTCCAGCCCTGGAGAGAAGGGCAGGTAGAGACAGCTCTTCCCAGCATCTGCGGTAATAGCAAGAGCTCTGCACACGTACACACAGGGTTTAACAATATTTAACTCGCTTTAAAAAACTTTTTTTATGTTTATTTATTTTTTTAAAGATTTTATTTATTTATTTTTAGAGAGGGAAGGTAGGGAGAAAGAGAGAGAGAGAGAGAGAGAGAGAGAGAGACATCAATGTGCGGTTGCTGGGGGTCATGGCCTGCAACTCAGGCATGGCGCCCAGACTGGGAATCGAACCTGCGACACTTTGGTTCGCAGCCCGCGCTCAATCCACTGAGCTACGCCAGCCAGGGTGTTTATTTTATTTTTAGACAGAAGGGAAGGGAGAAAGAGGCAGAGAAACATTAATGTGTGGTTGCCTCTCACGTGTCCCCCACTGGGGACCTGGCCAGCAACCCAGGCATGTGCCCTGACTGGGAATCGAACCTATGACCCTTTGTTTCACAGGCCAGTGCTCAATCCACTGAGCCACACCAGCCGGGGCTTAAATCACTTTTGTATCCATCCTTACTTGTTCGCCATACTTCCTGGCTCACCCAGGTCAACAGTCAACTTGGTGTTGACAATAAAGTATAGAATCACACTTGAACACCTCTAAGATGGGTGGCTTTATGTCTGTTTACTGATGAGGAACTAAGGCTTAACAAGGTAAAACTGCCAGCTCAAGGTCACAGCTTGTGAGGGGGGGAGCCAGGACTGGGACCCCTGTGGCCTGGCTCCGCAGACGGTGGTGCACTTGGGCTCTAGCCTCTGTGGCCACCTGAGGGCGAAGATGGTTGTGAGCCTCTCCTCCCGCTCCGAGCAAGGCAACACGGTCTCTAGATACCACTTCCAGGGAGTGCCCCACCTCCACCTGAGCCCAGCTCCCTTAAAAGGGCTCTCGGGCCTGCCTGAGGACCAAGGGCTTGACCTTGCAACTCTGGGGTCTTCCCACCAAGGAGACCTATAAGCCAGGCACCGGTGCACTCGGGAGAAAGCTGCTGTGCTCCCAGGAGCCTCTAGGGGGAGGAATGAGGCCGTGAAATAACTTGAGCTGGCGTGGCTGCCCAGCCAGGGAAGGGGAGGCGGGAGGGACGCCCGCTCGTGCTTCTGAAGCTCTCCCAGCCAGGGAGCTCACTCAGCGTGCGGGTGAGTGGCCCCACGGGACGGGCCCAGCCCCATCCTGCCTTGGCTGCAGTGGCTGGTCTGCGTCCCTCAGCCGTGGAGGCTCTGCCGGGCTCCTCTGCCCCTGTACGCCCTCCCCTCCAGGCTCTGCAGCAGCCCCTGCCCGGGGATCCCCGACTTCTCCCTGCCCCTGGGCCCGCACACAAGCCTGCCCCAGCTCCCAGGCCCGCACTCTCCGTCACCACCTCGACAGTTTCCACTCGGACCAGCCCAGCCTCCTACCTGGTGTTCCTCCCTCTGCCCTCCCCCCACCCCACCCCCACAACACTGCCTAAATGGAATGATCTCACTGAAATGCTGAATTCCCAGCTTGGAAACTCCTGCTGACGTCAGATACCTCCCCTCTCGAACGCAGCAGCCCCGGGTCCCTGGTTCGGCCTCCTGTCACGCACCATTCTCGCCGTGGCTCCTCGCCCCGCCCTGCCCTGCCCTGCCGTTCCCTCTGCTTGGAATTTGCTTCAGACTTGTTCCTCAAAGTCCCCCTCAAAGGTCACCGCCTCTGGAAGACACCCCTGCAGCAGCCCTAGGCCCCCCACCCTCCCCGCTCCAGCCACTCCCAGCGCATGTACTTTGTAAAGCACCTGTCCCAGGGTCCTGCAGGCGACAGCCCGCCGCGCTGTGTGGGGTGTGGGCTCCAGAGGGGGCTCTGTATGTATTCAGTTAAGTCTCTGGTCCCAGCATGGCCTGGCGCACAGTAGGTCTTGAGGGCACGTGGCATTTAGGGGCACTGGGCGCAGAGCAGCCTCACCTCTTAGGTGTAGTGCTTTGACCCAGGGCCTCCGGTCTCTGCCAAGGCAAACACTCATCTGCCTGCCCAAGTGGGTGGCAGCTGCCCGGGGCCGTTTCCGCACTGCCCTCACCCTGCTGTGCGGCAGCTCTTCTCCCGTGGTGTTCCAGGGTGGGGGAGCCCAGAGGAGGGATGAGGTCATGCGCAGCCAAGGATCCTCAGAGAAAGGCGCCTCTATGCACGCAGCAGTGATTAACCCTGTTGGAACCCGTTCGGTGTTTTAATTGCCCCGCCAACGGCCTGGCTGAGCACCCACAGCCAGGTTCCCAGGGCTGGGAGCTGGCGAGCTGGGGTGGGCGTCCCCTCCCTCCTGAGGCACACAATAGGCACAGCGTGTGGGGCCCGAGACTGTGCTCCTCTCCCCGTCCTGTGTGTCACCTTTTGTCCCCCAGGCCGGAGGGGGCTCTGCCTACAGCTCAGTCCCCAGAGAGACCATGTGTTCTGTCTTCTGTCCTTGGCCTTAACTTCCTGAGGGCAGAAAAGCCGTCCTTAGTGTTAACTTCCCGAGGCCTTGACTCCAACCCCCACTCGAGCCCACGGGGACCCCAGTTCTACTGGCAGCGGCGCCAGGTGACTGGACACCCAGCCTGGCTTCCCGGAGCCCGGGGCCCGTGGGGCAATGCAGCACACCGCCAGAGAGAGACCAGGGCATCCGTCAGGACTGGCAGCAGTGCAGACCAGTCCACGGCCACACCGCCCCGGACGCACCTGGTCTCCTCTGATCTCCGACGCTAAGCAGGGTCGGGCCTGGTTAGCCCGTGGGTGGGAGAGCAGTGGAGAATGGGGATCAAGGGGGTTGAATGGGAAAGGGCCCTGCAGGCCAGGGGAATGCCGTGGGTTGGGTGCAGGGGACCACATGGCCCCGATCTACGCTACAAAGGCGGAGCTGGGGAGTTCGAGGCAGGTAGAAGAGAAAGAAGCACATGGTCTGCTCGGGTTGGAAGGCCAAATGGGACACGGAGGGTGAGGGTGCTGGTGAACTAGCCCTTTTCTTGCTCCCGGGCTTCGAACCCAAAAGCCTTCTAGAACAGGGCCCTGCTGCAACCTGCAGCGGGCGGAGCATGGAGCTCCTGTAGCTTCTTCGCTTCAGCCTGGAGGTGGACCCCCGGGATTGTCTCTCTTTGGGAAAAGGGAGGTCAGCGCCTACGCCGGACCAGTGCCAAGCCCGGGAGAGGCCCCGACCCACAGCTGCTCGGTGAAGACAGGCAGAAGCAGGGGAGGCTGGTGACCAGACGAGGGTCTTAACCCACACCCCCTCATCCACGAGCTGAGAGGATCTCCCTTCTTTCCCTTCCTTCCAGAAAAGGAGGACGTTGCCCGCATGGTATTATCAGACCTCTTACACCCCACCCAGGCCCCTTGTCCAACTCTGGTCTGAAAGGTGGTATAGAGGAGTGACAGCGACCAAGAGTCGCTTGGCAATAAAATAAATAAAGTATTAGAGTTTAACTGAAAGCATAAATACCCACGAATCCATACTGATATAAATGAAGAAATAAAAAATGAAGGAGCCCTGGCTGCTGTGGCTGAGTGGATTGAGCACCAGCCGGCGAACCAAAGTGTCACAGGTTCGATTCCCAGTCAGGATACATGCCTGGGTTGCAGGTCATGACCCCCAGCGACCGCACATTGATGTTTCTCTCTATCTCCCTCCCTTCCCTCTCTAAAAATAAATAAAATCTTTAAAAAAATTAAAAATTGGGGAATAGGCAATGTCCCGTGCAAAGAACCCCAAATAGCCTATGTGAATGTTCTTCCATTAAGGAGGGGGAATGTAGCCCCCCGTCTTTCGTGTAGACTGCACACAGTGACTCCCCCAAAGAGGACGGTGCGGGGAGGGAGGAGGACAGCTTCACAGTCACAGTGGGGAGCCCTGACGACCCCGTCTCAGCTAGGCGATCACAGCCAACGTCAGCCCTGGACACGATGTGATGAGAAGAGCACCTTCCTTCCGTGGTCTTCCTCCCGAAACATTCAACCCCAGTCTAAGCATGAAAAAAAAACCAACAACCAGCAGATAAACTGCAGTAGAGGGGCCCCGATCACGTGCCTGAGCCGCACTCTTCAAAGCTGTCAGGGCCCCAGACGAGGAGAGTCCGGGACAAAGCGACAGCCAAGAAGAGCCTAAAGAGGCACGAGGACCACATGTGACGTGGGGTCTTGGGACAGAGGCGGGGCAGCTGGAGAAGACTGGGAACATCTGAATGACGCCTGGAGTTCAGTTAATAGTCATGGAGCAACGCCGGTTCTCGAATCGTGACCAGGCTCCCATCGCGATGTGAGATGGTGGTAAGGCGGGAGACTGGGCATGGGGTACTACGGGAACTCCCTGTGATATCTTTGTAATAGCTCTATGAATATAAAACTGTCTAAAAGAAAAAAATTATTAAAGAGAAAGAGAGGAGTGGCCTGGCTCTGTGTGGTCAAGGCGCCACCGGCAGGGCGGACAGGGCGAGGAGCAGCAAGGACGGAGAGGGGAGCAGGTGAAGCGGGGCAGCCGCTTTATTTCAGAGCAAGGCGGCCTCGCCACGCCCCTGCCCCACACCCGTGGGCCTCGGACACAGGCAAACTGGGCAGCTGCAGGCCTCAAGAGACAAAGTGGAAGGCAGTCTGAGTGCGTCCCTCCCCGTCCTCAGGGACAGATCGCCATGCTGTGGTGTGGGTCCTCCGGCTCCCAGCTGTGCAGGGGCTGGGGGGTAGGGGGACCAGGCCCAGTGTCCTCTGAAGTCAAGATGAGGCGGGACAGCAGTGCCCCCCCGCGGTTGACAGGAGAACACCGCGCCCCAGGGCCTGGGGGACAGCCTTGGGCTGAGTTCCGGAATGCCGAAGGAGACCCCCGTGACAGTGGTGCGGATTCCAAGGGACGAGGGTCTTCTCGGGGGCAGCATCCAGGGTGGGGGCAGCATCCAGGGTGGGAGCAGCCTCAGAAGCCCCGAGCGTTGCTTGTTCTCCAATCGCGCTGTCTTCCTCCCGCGTGGGCGTGATCGGACACAACCAGAGCCCCGCCTGCTCAGGGAGGGTGCCCCGCCTGGAGGCGGTCCCAGCTGCTGCTCCCACAGAAGAAGTCCTCGGGGAGCTCACTCAGGAGCCCATCCAGGTCATCTGCAGGGGGGACGGGGGGCGGGGGCAGACTGAGTGACAACGTCAGGGCTGCGCAGGACTCCAGTCTAAGGCTCCTGCCTTTGAGGGGGGCCTGGGCCGGCAGCACTGGCAGGAAGTGGCTCTCCCAGGGCAGCAGTGGCTGGGCCGATAGGCCTGCCGCTGGCCTGACCCCCGTCTTCCCTCTGCTCCCTGCAGACGCACACATGACAGGAGGCAGGGGCAAAACGCCAGGGCTGTTCTGCGAAGAGCCTCCCCTTGGACCTCAGTGGTTCCTCTCTCTCCATCTGCAGGCACCGTGCCTGCAGAGGCCCGCGGTGCAACCCTCTCACCCGGTGGCAGGAGAAACAAGGCTGGGGAAGCCGTGAGGTGCATCCAGAATCCCACAGTGCGTGAATCCGGCTTCTCACCCAGAGTGGGAGACATCATCCCCTCCCCCAGAGTGCCCCTGTGGGCGTAGGGAATAAAACTGTTCCTGGCTGGTCTTCGGGCGGGGTCTTATGTCTGAGAATTTGGAAGCCAAGCTGAGCTCAGGAATCCCCGTGCTCCTGTCATTGTTAACAGCCGCAGCTAACACTGGGCGCCTGCTCTGTGCTGGCCGCAGGGCCGCCACACACGTTACACTCGCCGCTTGGTTTGTGTCTCACGGCACCCCTTCACAGGGCCGCTGGTGGCAGCTCCTGTCACAACCCCACTCCACCGGAAAGAGCAGGGTTTCACGGGGTCAGACCTCTCGCTTGGGCGAGCATCCTTAGGCTCCATCTGATGCCACAGCCACAGCTTCTAACAGAACCTCCCGTCCCGTGGGTGGGATCAGGCCGCACAGGAGTCACTCGGACTGAGCGACACCTGCAGGGCCGAGCTCCCAGTCTGCACAGCGCCCTCGACAAACCGACAAACCGTGCTGCTCGGACAGGGTCAGCCTGGGGGCCCTCGAAACTTAATGGGGGCGACCAGCAACTGTTCTCAGGAGAGAGGACTGGAATTCGATGATAAGGATTATAAGGAAAACAGTTGCCCCTCACTAGCTACATTGTGACTGTTTGGAGAAACACTACATTAAATGAAGGGAAATGAGCGGTCAGGAACCTGGGACAGGGAGGAGTATCTTCCCTCCTGGTCCGTGACCCCCGGCAGCCGTGTGACCACGGCTTCGCTTGTCGTCAAGCTCACTGACAAGGAGAGAGCGCAAGCTTCCGGAGAAGACTCCAGCACAAGGGACACTTTTCCACAGGATATAAATAAAAGGGCTTTGTGGTTTACCACCTGGTCTACTGTGAATATGCTCAATGTGGAGATGCCTACCCACAATCCCAGGAACTGGGGGCCAGACAGGGTTGAATTTACGGAACCCAAAGGCGCAGGACAAGACCTGGAGTGTGCCGGCTTCACCTGGGCAGTGCTGCCTCCTCAGGCACCAGCTGGTCCTCCCTCAGGACCTCCGTGCTCGGGCCTCTCAGATCCACACCCTGGTGCTGCCCCAACCACGTGGACATCTGACCCCCCAGCGCTGCCTGGGGGGCCTCGGAGCTCAGTCGGGACGGGAACACCCACCTCCTCCCTGTGGCTCCCGGCGCAGGGCCTGGATGTGGGGGAGGGGAGGCCAGTGGAGCACACGCTGGCGCAGCCCCTATGACACTGTTAATCAGTGTGCGGCCTGCAGCTCCACCAGAGGAGAGCCCACGCCCGATTTCTGTAACACTCCATAAGATCCAAGGTTCATGGGGGGAACAAGATGCAGCCAGAAGAATCTGGCTGAGAAAGTCAAGAGGAAATAGAAGGAGAATTGCCTTTTCTTTTTTAATTTTTAAAACACTTCATTTTTAGAGAGAGGGGAAGTGAGGGAGAGAGGGAGAGAAACAGCAATGTGCAAGAGAGACACTGATTGGTTGCCTCTTGTGTGCCCCCAACTGGGGACCTGGCCCACAACCCAGGCATGTGCCCTGACTGGGAATCGAACCGGTGACCTTTAGGTTCACAGGCTGGCACTCAATCCACTGAGCCACACCAGCCAGGACAGAAGGAGAATTTCTTTTGCTCCTGAGTGGTCTGACTGCCTTACCTGCTTCTGGGAGTTCTTCGGGGAGTGTCCTTGCCTCTGGGTTCTGTGCTGTTCCGTGGTCTTTCCCGGGCTCCACAGTGTCAGGCTGGAGGCTGCCGTGGAAGCCACCTGGGTCCTGGGGACAGAGGATCTGGTTACCGATGCCTGTGCCCCCAAGCCCCTCTGGACAGTATGCCCCCCCCCCCCGACAACCTCAAAGGAATAGGCGGGGGCTCGGCAAAGACAGGACGGAGGAGTGTGACAGGGACCAGCTACCTAGGCCCACGCTGCAGGCAGGGAGCTGAAACACTAGACACCCAAAACAGCAGATAATTACAAATACAAAATCTTTTGGCTGGTTTTTCTTCCCCCTAATTCTACTTTTATCTGGTATTTTAGGGAATCTATGTAACTGGAGGAAAGAGTAAAGGGGCCATTCAGAAATATGTTGAGGAGTTAGCCTGGGATTAAAAATTAGCTGTTGCCCAGGCTGGGTAGCTCAGTTGGTTAGAGCTTCATCCTGATAATGCCAAGGTTGCGGGTTCGAACTCCAGTCAGGACAGATACAAGAATCAACGAATGAATGCATCAATGAACAACAAACTGATGTTTCTTTTTCTGTTTCTCTTTCTCCCCACCTTCCTCTCTCTAAATCAGTAAATAATTTTTTAACGATTTTATTTATTTTCAGAAAGGGGAATGGAGGGAGAGAAACATCAATGTGTGGTTGCCTCTCAGGCGCCCCCTACTGGGGACCTGGCCCACAACCCAGGCATGTGCCCTGATTGGAATCAAACTGTGGACCCTTTGGTTCTCAGGCCGGCACTCAATCCACTGAGCTACACCAGCCAGGGCGATAAATTGTTTGAAAAAGATTTAGCATCAATAATCCCCAAACTAGCTAATATACAGACAGGTAATTAAAGTAAGTAACTAAACCATTAACCATGTTTAGCTCTGGGAAATAGGAGTGGAGAGGTTAAGTTTCACGTTTCCCTTTATTCTGTACCATTTCAATTTTTTTCTGTGAGTATGAATGACTCGAAATTAATCAAGATGATTTTTTTGAAGCGGCGTGCTTGTGGGGGAATGTGGAAGCGTAAGCAGAAAGATGCAGGAAATGGAAGTAGCAAGTTAGAGCTAGGCGTGTAGCCAGACTTGAGGTCGTCGGCTCTACCCACTCGCTTTCTAGACGAAGCGACAGCTGGGGAGGGGGCCGGACTTGCCAAGGTCACCTTACAAAGTACTGGCAGAGGGAGAATATGACCCAGGTCTCCTGCCCCCCAGGCCAGGCCACGAGCCCAGCCCAGGATCCCGGGACGGGTGGGGCGGGGTGGCCACAGGGGAGATGCTGTCTGCCAAGCCCAGCCCAAGCTTTGCACCTGCGCCCCGGAGCGGAGCTGCCTGGAAGCCCAGGTTCCCTCATTTCCCAGGGGGTTGTCCCCACCTGGGTTCTGTGTGGGGATCCCCTCGCTCAGCAAGGACGAAGAGCAAGTGCTGGCCCACCGGGCAGGCCATTCGCAGCTCACTGCTCTCTGCCCTGCTGCCTGTGGTAGCTCTGACCCTCGGTCACTTGCTGAGGGCCACCCCCCCCATGGACCCTCACTTGGTTAGTTCTCAAATGACTCCCATCCTCTCCAGTGTTCGAGCCTGCCATCAGACTCTCAGGGATCGCCCGGAAGCCGGCTGTTCCTCTAGGTCCTATTACCGCGCCATCTGGCAGGCAGCTGGACTGGGGACAGGAGGAGGCGGCCCTGCCTCCGAAGGTATCTCCTCCGATCGGGGTGGAGGAGGGGAAGGAGTCGGGAGACCCAGGCAGAAAGGGGCACTAGCTGTCCCCATTCCACCTGCTCCCCTTACCTTGGGGAGGGGCTGAGGTGGCCGGAGGGAGCTCCCCTCCCCAGAATCCGGGCCGTAAACGCGCACCAGGTTGTTGGGCGTCACGTTGAGGTAGTGGTTTCGGAGCGAAGGAGAAAACACCCCAATCTGGACTCAAGGAAGGGGAGAACAGTGTCCTGATGAAGCACCGGGTGCCGCTCCACGGCCACCTGTCCCGACCTGTTTCTCCCTTGGTGGCCTCTGCACCAGGGCCACACAAATCGCTCCCGCCTCAGCCCTGGAGTCAGAGTAGGGCCACTCACCACACACCCCCTCCTACCCGCCCAGCACAACCCTCACCCCCCGAGGACAGGTTCAGGTCTCTGCTCGGCTCCAGGAAGCCAGGGCCCAGCACCAGCCCAGCCGCTCCCCGCCTGGGCACTGGGAGGGAAGAAGCCACACACACAGCTCGGGGGGCCTCCTCTGGGGCACCAGGGGCGGAGAGCAGCTCCCTGTACCTGCTTTAGCAGCAGCACTGAGCCAGGCTTCAACTCATTCTGGTGCGTCTCAAGCAGCGACCTATGCACTGTGCCCTGCATCTCTCCTGCAAATACCACACGGCCCATCAGTCTCAGGGTCAAGGGCAGCACAGTGACGGGTTAGGGCCCTGGCTGGGAAGTGGGCTGCTCACTGGTTCAATGTTGCCAACCACCAACAGAGAGGGTGACCCCTCATCTCCTGCCTGCGGCGAAGGCCCCTCATCAGATACCCCCAGGACCTAACCCCTCACCCGTGGGGTCCTTGAAGACCGCGCTGGCGTCCCTCGTGCTCCGAGTCAGGGACTTGATCATCACTGCCATGCTGGGGACCTTGTTCCCGGGAAGCTGCTTCAGGGCTGCCTGCTTGCAAGGAGAGGCGTTTGCTGAGCCAGCTGTGTCCCAGCTGTAAGTGTCCCACATGTTCCAGGGCAAACTGAGAGGTAGGGGGGCAGAGTACAGGTGTGACAACAACTGTCCTTTGTGGAGGGCAACGAGGCAGTTTCAGGGGTTCACCTGACCTTCTTCAGGCAGACCTGCAGCTCGCTCCCCTGCCTCCTTTCTTCTGTGTCTGTGTATTTGTACAGAGCGCTCTACATAAATAGAGCCCTGAACAGCAGGCCACGGGCAAGGATGTGTTAGCACGTGTACTGACATGTGTCTGCCCATGACCCCTGACCTCTGCGGAACTCTAAGGACAGCAGTGTGCTTACTCCCCCCTCCCCCACCCAGGGCCCACAACACAGCTACTCCTCGGCCTGTGCCCAGCACTGCGGATAGCAGTGGACAGGTGGGCGAGTGGAAGATACCCCACAGGGACTTCACGCTGCCGTTCAGAAAAAGGCCTGCAGTCAGAGGGCAAACGGAAGCCCCACTCCTAAGGTGGAGGAGGGCAGAGGGTTGGTGAAAAGGACAAAAACGGGCTTCCTTTCCAGTCTCAGCACCCAGCACCCTTACCTTCCGCAGCACCATGATGACGCTGTAGGTGCAGAGGAAGCAGGCGGGGTCTCTCTCGTCCAGGCCCAGGGCGTACTTCATGGTCAGCCAGGGCCCTCGCCCGAAATCGTCCTCCACCGACGCCGGGGAACCGGTGCCAACCTGGCACCACAGGGCAGAGGGGAGCCTTCATGACCGGGTGCGCCTTGCCCCGACCGCGCCCGGGGGGCGGGGGGCGGGGGGAGGCGTGCAAGGGGAAGGGCGCATGCGCGGCGGCGGGGCGGCCGCCGTTTCCTCTCATTTCTCTCCAAGACCAGAAAATGGCGAGTGAGGTCTTGCCGTGTATCACATGACGTCGCACTTGGCAGCGATAGCAAAGGTACCCTTCGTTTTCTTTTATTTTAAGTCAGGTCCTGACTGTAATTACATCACAGCAGCAAAAAGCTAGCCACGCTCCTTTCCTGTATGAGACTTGGACAGTCTCAGGGCTGGGGAGCCCGCACACACGCTTACGGGCTTGTGCAGTGCCCCGTATGGTGAAGCCAGTCGTACTCTATTTGGGATGCCCCTGGCTTTCATTGTTACCCTTCAAATTATCAGAAAGTGCTTTGATTCAGTTGAGTATATTTACCGCTTTGGACCTGAAGGGGACCGGTGGGCGGGCGGAGCTGCAGCATAGAGAAAAACTGCTAGAGCGAATTAGAAGCAACAGTGGGCCTGAGGGCGGAGCGGGTCAGCCAGAATGGGGGGAGGGATGGGGGCCCCCCCAGGAGGGGGGGCAGCAGGGGGGCGGGGAGGCTGCGTCTCACCCGCTGGAAACAAACCCGCTGCAGGTCAGCTGAAGGCAGATCCCTCCCAGCTTGATTCCCAGGAACCTGAGAAGGGCGCCTGAGATACAAGTCCCTAACACTGAATACACTCTTCTCCCAAGGATAGGTGGAGGTAGCTGGGCCTTCCTTAGATGGGACAGAAGGCCGGCTCATGGACTGGTCATCGCCTGGCTGGCATCCGGATAGGCTTCACTTCATGCCAGCAAAATCGCCACCTTCCCAAATCCCCAAATTGCCTTCCCCGTGTGCCATCTGGTTGGTGCCTGACCCCAGGGAACAGGCCTAGTGTAGCGCCGACTCTGAGTCTTAACTCCTCAGGCACGTAGGCATGCCCCTCGCTCTTCAGTGACACCCAGGACGTTAACACTTGCACAGAACTAGTTACCTCCGCCTGGAATTTAGCCAGAGCCCCGTGAGTCGGCGTGTGGGGCGTGGAAACCATGATCTCCTCCAGGTTTCTCGCACTGCGCTGCAAGGGGGGAGAGGAGAAGGTGAGAGCGGCTGTTATTTACAAGCGCAGCCTCTTGTCTGGGTTACGTAATGAGCTCAGGAAACTATCAGGGACAATTAACACATATTACATCTCTCCTAACAAAGTCTCAGGAGCTTGCTGGTGGCTTAAAAAAAGACGCTTTGGGGATCGTTTTGGGAATGTGAGGAAGCTGGAGCTGGCCCGGGAGCAAAACCCAGAGCTTCCCGAAGTGGGCAGTGACCCGAATAGACACGCGGAAGGGCAGCTTCTGCCAGGCCCCTGCTCAGGGACCTAGCCCTCCCCTACAGAGACCCAGCCCAGGACCAGTGTAAGTGGCCTCCTCGGATTTCTCTCAAAGAGCTAGGGAAGAGCAACTAACAGGGAGAAACTGTTTCAAACACCTTGAAAATGCTAGGAAAGGGGTGCACCTGCCACAGTCTGCTGGGATCCAAGCTCCCAGCACGGCCCCAGCCTCCCCACGAGGACTCTACACAGCAGTCACAGTGAACGGTGCGGCGGCTCTGAGAGCACCCTGCTCTTAGGCCCCTGTGCCTCTGCACGTGCTCTCCCTGCCTTCCCACCGAGTCCAGCCTTGCGACACCCGCACCTGTTAACCTCCCACGTGTCCATCCAAAGCCCGCTCGGCAAGCCCAAGGAGCCCAGGGCCTCTCAGCACCCAGGAAATGACCTCTCTCACACTGTGCATTTCAAATATGATCATTTGTTTGCACCTGCTTCTTCTACTAGAAGCTCCTTAAGACAGGAACTATTGCTATTCTAATCTGTATTCTCAGTTCCAAGTAAACTGCCCACCTTAGCGGATACCAGTGAACATTCCTGCCTTGGTGCTAGCAGACAGTAGCGTGTGCAACAAATGTATGAAGACTGTGAAGTTAAGCACCCCTCTCCTGTGCGGTTTCTCAGGCATTCGATTCTTCCTCCCCCCTTCTTTTGATTCTTCCACAGATTCGAAGACCCTCCCCCTCTGCACTTCCTCCCTTCATTTCCCCAAGGAGGGAAGACTTTCGGACACCAGGCAGTGCTGGAACCCTGCTTCTTCCCTTTGCCCCCCGAACATCCCAGATGGCCCTGGCTTCCGCCAGGGAGAAGCTGCCACTCACTTGGTGAGGTAGGATCCCTGCTGGGCCCGGGAAGCGGCGTGCTTTGGCGCGGGTGGCGGTGCGCGGCGGCTGCTGGGGTGTGCGGCTGGCGGCAGTGACCAGCTGTACCAGGTGGTTGGTGACTATGGGCGTCTGCAGAGCTGCTTGGGGAGCCAGGGGGGAGTGAGGGCCCTTGGGGGTGCTGACAGGAGACTCAACAGAAGACGCTGGAGCTCGGGGTTGTAAGGGCCCCCGAGGGAAAAACCCAGAGACAGCCCTGGAGGGAGTAGAATAGTTTGAGTTGGGAGTTCGTGGAAAACTGGGTTGGCCACTTAAGTGGGCCTTTGGAGACTGGAATGACTGACAGGGGGCACGGTTTTGAGGGCTACTCTGAAGGGGCCTTCCAGCAGCTGGAAGAGGCGGGGCTCCTCGAAGTGGGGAACAGGCTTCCCAGCGGGGCTGCTGAGCAGGAACTGTCGAGGCAGCGGGGACAGGAAGGTTCCCCACGGCCCCAGGTCTCACGTGGGGCTGCGGGGACCCGCAGTAGACAAGAGGATCTGGAGACTGGTCCTGGGCTGCCGTGATACCCGTCACGTGGGTGGCAGGCATGGGCCCCTTTTGGCAAGATCTGCTCGGACCGGCTACGCGAGCCTTTTTAGCCAATGTGACGTCTTCCCGCTGCCCGGTGGGTAGAACTCCAGTGGCCTCACTGTTAGCTCCAAGGTCCAGCTCCATGCCAGGCCCTTCCAGCTCCATGCTGGCCAGGACCTCGTCAAATTCATCGTGTTCAGGCCCCTCGAAGCTACCAGCCCCCTGCTGTTTGCTCTCAGAGGGAAGCAGGGAGCGAGAGGCTGAGGATGGGGGTCTCGCTGGCTCTTTGAGCGCTTCTGTCAGTGTCGCTCTCCTCGGACTGCCCGTCCAGCTGCCGGCAGCTGAGACGGGCCTCAGGGGGCCTGTTGCCGTGGAAGGCGGACCCCTGGTGGCCCTGAGCATGCTGGAGGGTGGAAGACAGAGTCCCAGGCTTGGCAGGCCCGAAGCCTCTGAAGACGCAGTGGGACGTGACGGCAGCGGCCGGGAAGACTGTGTCTGCGCCGTCCCTGGTGCCCGGGAAGGGACGGGTCTGAGGCATCCAGCATTCACAGGTCCCGAGCCAGCAAACTGGTTCTCTGCATCCTCCACAGCGGACAAGAAATCCTGCAAAGAAGCAGAGACGGTGGGAAGTTAAGCTCTGCTTAGCTGTTTCAGGCATGTGGTGTGTGCCCATGTGCGGATGTACACAAGCAAGAAACCAATACATGAGAAGCAATGGTGGAGTCTCACCTCCTTTGACCTTGCCCATGAGCCCACCAGCAGGCTTCTGTGAGAAATACTCCTAGGCTAAGTCTTCAAGTAGCTTCTCTGTCTTTACTGAATCTCGAGTGGGGGCTGGGAGGTGGGGGGTGGGCAGTGGGGCTAGTCAGGGGAGCAGCAGGAGAAGCAAATGTGCCAGGGCACCGAGGGGTCAAACCAATCACCCACGGTCACAAGAAGACTACCTTTTCGGTGTCCAGCTGGTCATGCTGCTTGTCCTCAGCCCACTCCTCACCCCCAGCGCGCATGCACGCAGACAGACACACACACCCTCCGTAAGACAGAGAGGCTTAATAGGCAGAAGTTAAATATAGCTTTTCAGGCAAGTTAAATTAAGTATGGATTCCAGTTGGGAAGCAAGGTGAGATTGACACCTTCAAGAGCAACAGACCTGCTCCGAGGGTGTTTTTGACTCAGAACTGCTGATTTAACTGACAGGAAGGTCCCCAGGGCCCCCACGCCCTGCCGCCGCGCTGGATTGTCTGCGCTAGGGAAAGGTTTCTTCCGGCTTTGCGTGTCATCAGGAGGGCAGCAAACTCCAGCACTACGTTAGGCGTTAGCAGCAATAATAATAATAATAATAATAATAATAATAATGGTATCAGAATTACTGCAACAATCAAATCCTGATGACCCTGGGGGTTGATGAATCCCTTTTCTCGGGAACAGCTCGCTTGTAGACACGATGCCACTGACTTGGGAAGGGGTGGGGGGGGGGGGACTGGGTATGGAACAGAAACTTGAGCTGTCTGAGTCCTTCTCTCTTCGTCTCACGACGAGCCTGGCAGTGGTACCACCCCCCAGTGAGATCCAAGAGGGTCCTTTAACAGCCGCTTTTCAGCCTGTAACCGTCACACATCTTGAAAGCTAAAGGGCAAAGTCAAGGACACAGCTCCTTGACAAAGCTGGCTGTTTTGTGTTATTTGTAAAAATAACAGTTGAGTCCCTAAGGGGTAAGAAAAACATCTAACGTTCGAAATCTCACTGGGTGGCAGGTACCAGGTAAACATTTTACCAGAATTCTCTCAATGAATTCTCACACTGGCCCTATGAATAGGCACTGTTATTATTCCTGTTGTTTGGATGCAGAAACGAAGACTCAGACAGGTTAAGTCACTCCACAGAACCGGCACCCGAAGCTCTATGTGCCCTGGTCACTATGTCTCAGGACCTCCATGAATGGGCTGGTTTTCTCAAGGGGTCTGACAAAGGCTGTTTTCCCCCTTCGAGCCTCCTGTTCCCAAAGCCTCCGAGGAAGAGGGGAGGGTGCTGGGGCCGCCAGGAGGGCCCTCAGTGCAGCATTCACCATCGTACTCAGCACAAGTTAGGCATCTGGACAAATTCTAAATGTGGTTTTTGAAAAGCAAAGAGCCAAGAGACGAAAAGTAGGTTTGAATGGCTTGTCATCAATAAAATAGAGCAATTTTGTTCTATAAATGCAGTTCAGTAGTTTCCATGTGTGTTAGAGGGGGGGCCAAGTCAGGGGACCGAGACCCCATCCTGACTGTTGGTGCTTTATTTTATTTTTTTTTAGTCCCTTTATATCCCCACCCTTGCTTTATTCTTTAAGCAGGTTAATTTACCTTTCTAGGCTTTCCTCACTGAAATCTTACTTCTTTGTGAAAAGGATTTGAGGTGGCCATTTTTGGCCCCCAAAAGAAACTATATCCTTTGTATCTATGTGGGAAGAGAGCCATGGTGATCACTCATTCAGGGTTCACTAGTCTCTGGCTGCACCCAGAGGTCAGAAATATCCCTGCCTGGGTCCCTCCCCAGAAATGATGAGTTCACTGGCGTGTGGCAGGACCTCAGCAGGGGTGACTCTCACGTGCCAGCTTCAGGTCTACTCTAACCCCTCGTCGTCTGAGGAGAAACAGGGCAGGAAAGAACATCGGAGGCAGAAGAATGCCTCGCATATGGCAGGAGAGAACACGGAAGACTGGAGAATGAAGTCATTTGTCCTTGGTGACCCCAGGCCTCCTGCCCTCCCGCAGTTGTGTGGTCCCTGGCTTTCCACTCTCCCTCCCTCACGTGCGTCATCGAGAAGGTGAATCAAGTCACCCACAGACACAGCTTCCAGGTGATGGCCCTTATCGTTTAAAGGTATGACAATCAGGCAGCTTGCCTCTCTGGCTTTTTACTGGTTTGGAAGACAGTTCGATAGGTTTACATTTCTCATCATTCCTCAACCTCTCACAGACCAAAAACAATGCTCACATCAAGTCAAAAGGAAATGGGGAAATTGTTTCAAAATGTTTCAGGCCCGGGCATTTACATCTTAAGACCTCCTGGGTTCACCAACACGTCCTTACCTCATCCTCAAACTCCTCTTCCACAGCAAACAGCTTCTGCAAACTGCATGCCTGGAAGGTAAACAAAACAACTGAGGTTGGAGGAGAAGAAATGCCGTTTGCAAGTACATTCTGTCCTCACTCTGCTTCCCAGTTCTAACGAGGCCAACGAATGTACTGTTCGGGGTTTGTTTGTTTGTTTGTTTTGCTAGTGTTGGGGGAGGAGTAAGGGGTGCAAAGAGATGGGATTCGCTTAGAGACTTAGATGATTTCAAATCCTTTCTCCCTAAAATAATCCAGTCAGGTCCATCTGCACTAATCTTGGAAGAGGAGCGAAGGGGCAAAGGAAAGGCTGCCAAGGGCAGCATGGGTCATTCTTTACTCTCAGCGCTGCGCCAATGGGCATAAAGGTTTTGCAACAAAGGTCTGGCCTGAGGGACCTTTATCAAATATAATCCAAGCAAGTCTAGCTAGCACAGTGGCCTTGTTCCTGAGAGCCAAGCCAGGGGCTTCCTTCTATCTAACCCCATGCCCAAAGGCTAGGGCCCCAGGAAGGTGGGATGCGCACGTCCCCAGTTCCTTCCTTCGGAGGCAGCAAGGCTGCCGTGGCCAGCTCTGAGAGGTGTGTGTCAAACTCACAGCCAAGGGTTGTGCCTAACCCCAGAGCAAGAGGTGCATTTAGGGGTACCTAACCCCCAAAGTCCAAGGCTCAGACGGACGGGTTGGGGGGAGAGGGTCGGGCTCAGGCGGAATGACGTGCGATTGCACCGGAACAGGAGATCGGGGAAGAAACGGAGGCCCAGAGGGAGGTGGGTGGGGAGAGGCTTCCTAGGGTCTGCGAGGCGTCCCTGCCAAGAACGTGACTCGCGCCCAGGTCTCCCGACCTCGCTGAACTCTCACCCAAACCCTACACCCGCCCTGCTGCTCGCCCGGGTGAGGGGCTGGAACCTAGAAGGCAGTTCCCGGGCCCGGAGACCCAGAGGCCAGGCCGCCCCGGGCGCGGCATTACCATGGTGACGGCGGGTGGGCTTCGGTTAGAGGGTTAGTCGGACAGGCCCCAACTCGAGTGGTCGCCAGGGACTCAGACTTGGCCGGGCTCTGAGGCGAGGTCGCAGAGGTCCCTGCGACCCAGGCGGGTAGCAACAGGGTCGTAGTTAAGCTGACGGCGGGTGCGGTAGGCCGCTTTCGAAGCCGCCGCCACTCCGGCGTCTCCGCCCTCTTAAAGGGGCGGCTCTATTTTTATCCAGCCGACACAAAGGCTCTTCATCCGCCAGTCTTCCGCCCAGGCCTTAAAGGGAAACTGGTGAGCTCCCGGTCGCCCCCTAGCGGCCGCTTGGACCGGACGGCTGGTTCTACCCGCGGTCCAATGAGAGCAAGTTTGACGATTTGGGCCCTCTACGCCCAATTCTGCCCACCCTCCTCTCTTGTGTTAAGCACACTAGGCACTGTGGGCTTGAGCGGGGCTCTCATTCACACCAGAATCCACCCCGTTGGTTTGTCTGTTCAGCTCTCATCCATTCATACATCAGTCCATCCCTCTATTTTGCAACACATTTATTAAGCAAAAGCGTCCATAGTCCGACTCTTCAGCCTTCGTGTTTCTGTTTAGATCTCGGCTCTTCCCTGTCATCCATTCTCGCAACTAACACCCTCCCCCATCACTATTTCTTTTTCAGCACTTTACCGTGTGTCTTTCTCACTAGAACATGAGCTCCCCGAAGGAAGGGACCTTACCTGGCTCATTCAAGTTTGTATCCCCAGCAACTTAGCACAAAAATGCACTATAGAGTTATTGAACAACACAATGGCTGGTATGTATTGGGCACAGTGCTTGACGCTGGGGATAGAGAAGTGAATGACTACTCGTTCCCTGAAGTTCACAAGTCAGGGAGACACAGATCAAAAGACAGAGTCCAGCCCTGGCTGGCGTAGCTCAGTGGATTGAGCGCGAGCTGCCAACCAAAGTGTTGAAGGTTCGATTCCCAGTAAGGGTACATGCCTGGGTTGCAGGCCACAGCCCCCAGCAACCACACATTGATGTTTCTCTCTCTTTGTCTACCTCCCTCCCTTCCCTCTCTAAAAATAAATAAATAAAATCTTAAAAAAAGAGAGAGTCCAGGAGAGTCGTGCAGAGAGCTGGGCAGGGGCCTAGTGAGCTGGGAAGGCCAGCTTTTGTCACTGAAGCCTGCTGTGGTTAATAACCCTCAGTCTAATGTCGGTTTCTCTTTCTGCTTGTCACCACAGGGCTAGTCAGGATGACAGCTAGGGCTGCGTAGTTTTGAGGGCTCAGGAGGCAAGAGGAAGGTCACTGATTCCAGTTCTTAACCATCCAATCAGAGCCAGCCCTGAATCTTCCCCAGGGCGGCCCAGCCTGGTTTTACCTTGGGCAGCCTATGACTTCTGTCATAGCTCCATGTGGACCAGTTTACTTGTCATGTGTCAGAACAGAGGCCCAAATGGCAGTGGGAAAGGGAACCTGGACTCCTAACTCTCATCCGAGGTAGGAACCCCCTCAAGGCCTCTGTGTGTGCTTCTAAATTGGGGGATAGAATCCCAGCACCCCACCCCCGTTTACAATGTCCTCAGGCAGGGATAAACAATTAAATAAAAAGGAGCCCTGACCGGTGTGGCTCAGTTGGTTGGGCATTGGCCCACAAAGCAAAAAGGTCGCCAATTCGATCTGGGTCAGGGCACACACATCAGTGTTTCTCTACCGCTCTTTCTCCCTCCCTTCCCCTCTTTCTAAGAATAAATAATTTTGTTTTAAATCTAGCAAATAAAAAACAAATAAAAAGGAAGGAGTGAGTTCAGGGAAAGGGAGAGGTGGGTGCCGGGGCCTGGGCCTGGGCAGGAGGACGCACGCCAGAGTCACTAGATCGTCCGCTGTGACGGGGGGCACAGAGGGGAGTGAGTGTAATGAGAGGGTCTCGACAGTCCTGTGATGTAACCTAGAATAATAGCAGCCACTACTCCTGAGCTCCTCCTGTGTTCCAGGCCGGATCCCGAGTACTTTACAGGTGCCAACTTACTGGATCATTGCAACAGGCTTCGAAGGAGGCGCCAGGTCACGTCTGCCTCTCAGAGGAGGGAAGCGTCCCTGTCTTGCCCGAGCGCCCGTAACTAGCAGGTGGTAGAGCCGAGACGGTTAACCAGGCAGTCTGGCTCTGGCATCCACAGGCTTAACCACTATGTCATTTTGCCTCTTATAATTCCAGGGAACTGGGTTCTTAACCTGGGGATTCAAGAAGTGTAAGTTCCCTGTAATTCAGTGCAAAACAGCATGTGCCTCGTCCTGAGAGAGAATGTATGGATCTCATTACATGTTCGTGGATCAGGAGTCAGTCGCCTTGCTTTGTTTCAGGACCAGAAGACACCGGACCCCTTCACCCCTCATTTCGTGCAGATGCCTTACTCTGTCCTGCCTGGATGGGTGCCGTGGCCTCCTGCATGGTCTCCCTAATCCCAAGGCTCTCTTCCCTTCTGTCCATTCTTTCTAACACGCATCTGCTTCGCTACCCTATCTCAGCCTCGACCAGCCTCCCAGTCAACGACAGCCTCTCTCCACCTCACCCATTCCTCAAGCCCTAGTTCCCAGGCTGCCTCTTCTAAGAAGCTTTAACTGCCCTGGGCAGACTCGGGTTTCCTTCTCCTTGGTTTCCTGCAATTGAGGCATAACTTGGGTTTCTAATGTGCCCTGTACTGTCTTCAGGTTTCCTTCACACCTCCTTGCTGGGCTTTGAACCCCTTCAGGGCAGTGACTGTGGCTCTTCACTTTCGTGCATGAGCACTCGGCACTGGACCTGGAGCATGGAAGACACCCCACTCAGCAAGCATTTGTTGAATGACTTCATGTCATTTGTCAGGAGGGAGTGCAAATGAGTCTTGGCAACTAACTCCATGCTCCCTTCTGCGAACACCTGCAGTGGCTGGCTGAGGAGACTCAACTTCTTTAACAAAGTGGTTTTTTTTTAAGATTTTATTTATTTATTTTTAGAGAGGGAAGGGAGGGAGATACAGAGAGAGAGAGAAACATCAATGTGCGGTTGCTGGGGGTTATGGCCTGCAACCCATGCATGTACCCTGGCTGGGAATCGAACCTGGGACACTTTGGTTCCCAGCCCGCGCTCAATCCACTGAGCTACGCCAGCCAGGGCTGAGACTCAACTTCTTAAGTACAAAGGAGAGTGCACCTGGCGTGTGTGTGTGTGTGTGTGTGTGTGTGTAAACAGCGTTCTCCATTGGCTGTGGAGTTAGACAAATCTGGGTCCATGTTTGACCCCGCTGCTAACAGGTTGTGTGACCTTGGATAAGTTACTTTACCTCTCTGAACCTTAGTTGTCTCATCTATGAAAATGGAATAATACACCTTTCTCAAAGGACTGCTATGAGACGAAATGGATTAATGCATGGAAGTGGCCAACTCCGGGGCACGTGGGCAGGGGCTCAACAATGGGGCTTCCTGTCCCCGCCCCCCGCTTGAATTTGCAAACGTGTGCTGAGATTTGTTATGGGAGCCACATGGCTTGAGTTTGTATCTATTTCAGCATATCTGCAAATGCATTTTGCCCCGATTTGTATTTTTATCATACCAATTGTTGTGTGTGAGGAGTCGGTGCGCTGATGGATGTGTTTATGCATTTCCCTTGACATTCGCCTTGGTTTAGAAAGCGGCATACACTGCCGTGGCTGCACACACACTGAGAATCTTACGGGGTTTTGCTGGTGGGTGGATGGTGCATGTTGAGTGAGTGTGTGAAATGTGTGTGGAATGAAATGTGTGTTGTGTGCTGCATACCAGGGTGGGGGTCTGAGTGTACGTGGGTGGGGAAAGGCTTGTCTCTTTGTGTGGCTTTGTGTGTGTGCGAAGGCTGGGTAGAGCAGCACTGTGGGACGGAACTTTCTGCGTGGGTGAAAATATTTTCTGTCTTCACTGTCCAACAGAGCAGCCAGTAGTCACAAGTGGCTACTGAGCCCTGGAAATGTGTCCGGTGAGAGCGACTGAAGAACGGAGTGTTCATTGTATTTAATTTTAATTAACTCGAATGGAAATAGCCACACTCAATGACAGACAGAAACCTCACATTTGTTCTCTACAGACCAGTGGTGTACATCCCCCTCCCTCTTAATAGGGAAACACAGCTAAGATGTCCTGACCTCAGCAGATAAATGGACCCGCTGGAGCCCCGCCCACTCATGTGTGCGCGTGTGAGCGCACGTGTGAGATGTACAGAGGGGGCCATCCGCCTCCTTCCTCCCCAAGTCCCCAGGCGAACAGTGAATCAGCCTGACAATAAGGTGAGTCATTCATGAATCGCTTGGGCCGACCCAGCAGGCGGGAAGCAAGCGTCAGCCAGCCACCCAGCCCTCCCCTCCAACCCCCCAGTGGGATCGCTCAACCCCACGCACTGCAGATGTTGAAGAAACTGACGCGAGCGAATCAAGGCATCAAAGCTCCTCTCCTCAACCCCTCCCTCTGGTTTGCAATCCATTCATCCCCCAGTCCATTTCTCCCCTCCGGTGGCATGTGAGTCATCTCAAGAGCTACACCCCCAATCCAATCCCCCCCTCCCCGCCCCCCGCCCCCCCCAAGCATCCCGGAGTTGGTCTTCCCCCAAGGCTGGGATGTGGGGGCAGGGAGGCTCGACCCCTGGTGGAGTGCCACCGGCTGCCTTTGGAAGAGGCTGGATCTCCAGAGCTGGCATCCAGCTTGCTTGGAGGAGCATCAAGACAAACACAGCGCCCTGGCCGCCGGGGCTCAGTGGATTGAGAGCGGGCCTGCAGACCAAATGGTTGCTGGTTCATTCCCAGTCAGCGCACAAGCCAGGGATCGCGGGCAGGTCCCCAGCTGGGGGCGTGTGAGAGGCAACCAATCAATGTTTCTCTCACACATCGATGTTTCTCTCCCTCCCTCTCTCCCTCCGCCCTCTCTCAAAGTAAAAAAAAAAAAAAAAAAAGACAAACATGGGGCAGCAGGGAAGGAGTTGACGAAACTGCTGCCTGGAGCCCCTGTGGCTGGTGGCGAGGAGCGGGTTTGGAGGGGCTCAAATATCCCCGTGTTTCCCACGGAGGTCCCACGCAGCGTCTCCCTGTATCGGACAGTCTTCAGAGCCCGGTAGCTCCTC